GTACCTAAACTGAAGTACTCGTACTTGTACTCTGTCTTGAAAAAACTGGTATCGGGACACCCCTAAAATAAATATAGGGGTTCAACAATCCAGTGCTTTAGGATCAACGCACACTTGTATGGAACAATACAGATTTTTAACACTTATTTCATCAGCTGRTCTTCTGAAGATGCTCTGTGTTATAGGATCAGTGGATCTGTGTTCTACTAATCCACCTAGGCTGCACTGTGGAGCACAGATCCACTGAGAAACTTGCTGTTTCAGCAACATTTAATTTAAAAACTACTTTTGAGGTTAAACAAATGCTCAGAATTAATTTCAATAAATTACAAGTTAAGAAGGGCATGGATATTTCTCTTTTTTGTATTGAAAAATAAAAAATCGAACTGGATCGTTGGTGTGTGTACACTTTTTTGTCCTGTAGAGGGTTTTTTTTTTGGTAATTTGTTGATATTTTGGTGTTTGTTTTCTTGTAGAGTAACGAAGTTGGCGGCAGTGTGAATATGGAGAAAGAGGGACTGAAGCGGAGTCTTGATCTGCTGGAGTCCAAGTCGGTACAACTGGACTACATTGTGACAAACAAACATCTTCAAGTACAGAAGCATCTGAGCGAGAGAGAAGTGACGCACTATTATGACGTTTGGAATGTGGTAAAAGGTATGAACTTCATTTTCTGTTSAGCAGTTGAACTGGATAAATTTATTGTATTTTTGGTCAAATAATTTCATAACCTACAGCAAATCACAGGACCTCCCCGAAAAATGTAATAACAGCTGAGTTTGAATGACTGACAAAAGTGTAAACATGCTTGTTTTCTAGTCTTGTCAAAGAAAATGGAACGTTTGGCCAAACAAAAGGATTGCAAGATGTTAAAGAAATGGGTGCCTGGAATAAAAAGCCACATGTACTGGACCGCGTATTCATCTACAACTGGACCAGAGAAAGTGGCCAAGTGGAAGTCTGTGGTGAACCATATACAGAATGTCCACGAGCACGATGATCCTTTGTTCCCAAAATGTCTTCATCCAATCAGAGCATCCACGGATCCAAATAAGTGGTTCAAACCAGGTTTGTAGACGGACGAGTTCGATAAATATTACAAATTAAAAGTTGCAGTTTTATTTATTTACTCAGTTCTTTTTCTTTTTTTTCCAGGCACTGTGGCCTTGCATAGAATTGAGAAAATGCTCCTCAACAGAAAGATCCTGAAAGATGTTTACAAACTGAGCTCTAACCAACACACATCATCATTCGAGTCATTCCACAGCCTGATTCGGCGCTTTACACCCAAGAATATGACTTTCCCGTTCATCGGAAGGCTGTGCCGGTATGTTTCTTTAGTGTGCTCTCCCATAATTAATTTTTACCCAGTTGTAGCTGCTAATCCTGTTTTGTCATGTCTATTTATCTGTTTTACAGACTGTATCTGGCTGCTATGCACCACAATGAAAACTCAAAACCAGAGCAGGCTGCTGCAAATGGGAAACACATGTTGAAATTACTGTTTCCAAAGTCATCAAAGGGACGTGCTACTGCAAGACGCATCAAAACAAACGCCACATATGGTAAATAACAATTTATTAACAACACTTTACCAAAAACACAACACTATTTTGTAATTGTAACTATTTATAATTTAACAGGATACCGGAGTGACCTGATGCGTCTGGTTTTCAACACGGTAGTTGTTGACCCACTGAAGTWTCAGACGGAGCTGCAGAAGGTGTCTGCCCCCCCGAACCTCTGTCATGTCATGTCTGACATGCCTGCAATGGAGGATGACCCAGACAACAACATTTAATCCTGTGATGCCTGGAAGTCAACAGRCCTGAAGTCAACAGGGATCTGTGAATTCCTGACGAGTCCGCAGAACAGAACACGACAGCATTACAACCATTAGTCTGGCTCCAAGGAATTCTCAGTACCAACTAACAAATCTGAAACATCTGGAATTATAAGAAATTGTAAATATTACTACTAATTTGTTTGTACTAGTTTGTGTATTTTAAAACTTTTGTTTGTTTCTATTTTTGAATACTTRCACTTCTTCTCTGGACAGGTCCATAATCTGCTCTGTTTATATTTGTTGATATTTGTAGGACATGGATTCAAACAGTTCACACAATGGAACAAATTTCTAGATGATTTATGGCTAAAACTCTTGTTTGAGTCAATTTTGAAAGATGTTTAACATTTTATATATCAAAGAAGAAGGGCTGTGGGATCTTGCAGAAAACCTTTTTAACTTTGGCTGTCATAGAGACACCTGTGAGAATAAAATTTGCTTTACAAATAATTTCATTGCAAAACATGTTTTAAAAATGGTTTTCCTAGGTTGGGACCAGGATTTTGAGGGCATTTCTGACTATTGCTTAGTCACAAAATTTGCTAGTATTTAATCCCTTTGTAATAATTATTTGAAGGCTCTGATGTTTAAGGTATTTCAGCTTTTTTTTTTTGGTATAAAAAGCTGAAATACCAAAATTCATTAGCACCCCTCACATGAACGAGCTGAATGTACTGATATCTCACTGATATATGAATTGTTGAAATACCACAAAAATTGTGGAACGAGTTAGATGCCAAAAATGTAGGGAAGAAAAAATGATCTCAATGTTTATCAACTTTCCACAGGATCCCCACTTCAAAATGGCCGAAATATCCCTTTAAACACTTTTKGCAGTATACCTGAACCGTTGCCTAAAATATTACCTAAATTAATATATTTTGCAAAATACAAACATCCTGGAGTATGTTTTATTGTTTTAATATTTTTTAAGATAAGATAAGAGCCGTGCATGTTTGATATTTTATTTTCTCTGCGTCACGCGCGCCTTTCCGCCGCGTCACGTGACCCAGTCAGGAAGTGTTCCTTGATTTCCTACGGCGCACAACAACAACAACAGTCTGTTGTGAAAAGTTTGGATATTTGTTCGTTTTATCGGTGTAGAAACATGTCGGACTTATTGCTAAAAATAAAAAATCGAATAGGTGAACAGAAGAAGAAGGAGAGTTTGAGTCAGAGCGACATGCAGAAGTTTGGTTTAACAGGTACGAAAAGTTACAGCAGCAGATTCATTCATTCATTCATTCATTCATTCATTCATTCATTCATTCATTCATTCATTCATTCATTCATTCATAGTGAATAAGTGACGCTAACTGCGGAACTTCTATCTTTCACGCACACGTGGTTAAGAGAGTTCTGTAAACGTGTGTTTGTTTACGCTGAAGTGAGTTAAGCTGCAGCTTGTTTCCTCCACAGGGATTCAGCTGAGGAGGTACCAGCTGGACGGGGTCCAGTGGCTCGCTCAGTGCCTGCAGAACCAGCACGGCTGCATTTTAGGAGATGAGATGGGTTTGGGCAAAACCTGCCAGGTGTGTGTGACCGATCAACCGAGAAATTCAAGCAAATTCAGGCCTCCGTTTTAAAACAGCTACAAGTATTTTTAACAAGTGTTGTGTACAAGTAAACATGCTGTACATGTTACTGCTGCTGGAGGAAGCTGCTGTTTAACATGAACCTCTTCCTCAGTAAAACATAGTAAACCAGTCTTCAGGAAAAAGCTTTGTAAATTAWTAAAGAGGACATATCCTGCAAAATCCACTTTTTAGCTGTTAAATACATTTTTTGTGTATTTGGAGTCTCTGAGTGCAGAAAAGTTTAATTTAGTTTCTCCTGGTGCTGCAAAAAATGTCATTATATTCTGTTTGGGTCAGCCCGTTTAGTTTTCTCTATTTTSTATGACATTTTCTCTGTWAAGTCAAATAATCTGCGATGGAGTTACTATAAGGTCTGGATTACAGACTACAATTTCCTCATCTTAATTCTCTTGTTCTGGGTCAGACTCTGGCTCCAACATGTAAGGTTGGACGGACAAGTCTTTWGTTGTTCACAKCTTCTAATTAATTTGTAAATAAAACATTTCTGCGCAGCTAGATAATCGTATCCTKCTATTAAGSTATAAAAATGGCCAAACGGGGTGTRGTGAATGGTGATCATTGAGAGTCTTGGTCTCAGGTGTCTCGGGGGTCTCTCAGTGTTCTCCTTCTTGCTCAGTGACTCAGTTTGTGAGGACGACCTGCTCTTGGTAGATTTACACATGTTCCATATTCCTTCCATTTCACTTTTATAGATTTAGTTGTCCTCTTTGGGATGTTTAGGACTTTAAAAATTACCATAATTGATTTATGACAAAAAAACAAGCACTTTTTAAWGGCTGTGTGTATATTTAACATTGTCCACTTGGTGGTTTGTCCTGCAGACGATCTCTCTGCTGCTCTACATGTCAGAAGCTGTGGGGAAGAAAGGTCCATTTTTGGTTCTGAGCCCGCTCTCTGTCCTGGAGAACTGGAGGAAGGAGCTGGAATGGTATTATGGCATTCACATGTTAGTTTGTGGACTTTTTCTGCATCTTTTTCAACCCGTTCWCACTGAGTTGATGTAACCTGGTTGCAGCTTGGCCCCCTCTCTGACTGTGCTGTGCTACAAAGGAGACAAAGAGCGACGGGCCGAGATTCAGAGGGAAACAAACACAGAAGACTTTCATGTTCTGCTCACCACCTATGAGGTCAGTGGCTGCTCAATGAAAGCACAATAACCTAAAATTATGTTCAATTTAAAAAGTAAACCAAATGTATTTTTTTTACTTGCAGCTGTGTCTCAAAGATGCTTCGTTCTTAAAAAGGTAAGCAGGACTTTAGGTCTCTGATAATTTTTTGCAATGACAGTAAAAAGAGACACCAATCAATCACATTCTGCTCTGATATTCTGCAGGTTTTAGGAAAAAAAAATTTTTTTTATAAACAGACAGCTTCTAATGCATGCCTGTGCATTTCATATGTTATATTCTAGTGATGGGATGATGATACCTCAAGGAGTGTATTGACACACTACACAAACTGTGTCGGCTCTGTATTGATACTGTGTTGGTC